TGATGATGATGGTGATGATGGTGATGATGGTGATGATGATGATGTCTAACTGCTCTGGAGGTTAACAGGGCTCAGCGAGGCAGTTATACCTACAACAGAAGCTCCACAAAGCCACGGACATTATCCGTCATTTTCACCGCTGCATCCTCAGTGCCAAGCACATTCTCATACTCTGTCCTTATTGGTTCAGTGGATGAGGTCATTGAAAGAGCATCCACATGGAAACCTCCTTGGTTTGGCACACATTTCAGACCCCGGTTTCCAAAACATGTGGCTGTATGGGACACACTGATCCCCCCTTGGGGAGAGGCCTGAGGGTCTGCCGTGGCGTCTCAAGCGCAGAGCACACACGGGGGCTGGAAGAAGTGGGAGATGCCCCCACTGCAGGAAACCAACCTGTCACCATGACATGGCTAGCAATCTCATTTCAAACAAAACAGAAAGACTGGTGCCAGGGTGGATAAAGGAGAAATCTGTGTGAATAACTAAATAAAAACAGGAGCTATTTTAGACCCGCAAGGCAGCAGGAGCCTCTGGGCGGCCCGGGCCAAGAATGTGAATATAGTCACTGCTTCTCCTTAACTTCTGCTTCTGGCGAGTGGTGGTGGATGCTCCTTCTAATGGGTGGGATATTGACTTTTTTGATGTTTTGCTGTTGTTTTGGCTTTTTTTGAAATAGGCTCCATACCCGCAGGGGAGCCCAATGCGGGGCTTGAACTCAGGACTAAGAGATCAAGACCCAAGAGTCGGACACTTAACCGACTGAGCCACCCAGGCGCCCCGGGTATTGACTTTTTTAAAGAATAGATTTGACTGAGGGGTGCCTGGGTGGCTCAGTCGGTGAAGCGTCCGACTTCAGCTCAGGTCATGATCTCACGGACCGTGAGTTCGAGCCCCGCGTCGGGCTCTGGGCTGATGGCGCAGAGCCTGGAGCCTGCTTCCAGTTCTGTGTCTCCCTCTCTCTCTGCCCCTCCCCCGTTCATGCTCTGTCTCTCTCTGTCTCAAAAATAAATAAACGTTAAAAAAAAATTTAAAAAAAAAAGCAATCTTGGGTTTTGTGAGCCACCAGGGCCTGGTTGACTAACTTGGTTAATGCTGGGCACAACCCTGCGCACACCCGTAGGTCTGCTCACACACGTGTGTGCCACTTCTTCCTTGAGCTCTTGGCTGTGCGCCACAATGGGGAAGGAACGCACCAGGCCGACGTTTCCTTATTTCCCGGCTGTGATCTGAAGGCCCTACTGCCTTAGAGTAACCTGGGGAGGCTGTCCCAAGGGCAGATTCCCAGGCCCTGGGCTTGAACTCCTGGGTGGAATCTCTGGAGGCGGGACGCAGGAATCTGCGGTCTCAACATGTCCCCACGATTCGGATGGCTGGTTTTGCTGTTGGGACCACAGTGAAGCCTGGTGGGGGGATCTATTCCATCATAAATAAGGTCTTGCCTGGAGAGGGACTTTCCAAGGGGACACCAACGGCTCACCCATGCTCGACACGGCTGGGCCCCCGTGATTCTGCGGGGGTCTCCGCCAGATCTGGGAGGAGTGAATTCATTGCTGCATTCCAGAACCAGAAGATACCAGGGGCCGCCTCAGCCTGCTCTGTTCCCCAGGGGTTGCAGTGGTACAGGCTTAAATCTAGACAGTGGTTCATCCCATTGGTGTCCCCCGTATTCTCAGGTGTCTTGCTAGATTTCCCCCATTGAAAAGTGTGGTTGGTGTTAGGGGGTCTCATGGTCAGATATGTGGATGTCCCTTGTGTCCACGTGGGTAAGTGTTTTTATACGAGGCTTCGTTTAGTGCCTGTGGCTGAGCGTGTAGCTGGGTGTGTTCATCTCGGTGTTCACTGTCGGCCGAAGGAGAAGTCGGATCACCGTGGCTGCAGGATGCGGGCCTGCCAGGCCTCCTTGGAGGCCAGGGCTTGGACGGTGACCACCAGGGGCTCCTGTCCACCCTGACACAGACCCAGATGGCTGCTGTGGGCCGGCTGGACGTCTACACCCGCTCAACCCAAAGACGGCACGAAGCACCTGCCGGAGGTGTCAGGGACATCTTTGGGGGCTTCAGTTCAACGGTGAGTGAGTGGCATAAGAGTTACTGCAGGACGTGTCTGCCCGGGGCCTCTGTGAGGCCATCACATCCTAAGTGCAACAGTGATTCTATTGCAGGGCTGTGTTGGGGTGTGTGTGTGTGTGTGTGTGTGTGTGTGTGTGTACAGTGGGAATGCTTGCCTGTGCACCTGCAGGCCACTGTGTTCCCACTTTCCATGCAGGTCTTTATCGGCTATGGGATCTTGGGCAAGATTTCGGCACCTCAGCTGCTGCACCTGTGAAGGGGTTGGGACTGGCTCCTAAGTCCCGGGGCCGTGTGTCATCGGCTGCCCGCGGGGCTAACTGGGAGCCATCTGTAACTCGCAGAGGAAGTGTTTTCAGAGGATGGGGACCCAGCTCAGTTCCGTGGCTTCTAAGTCTCCTCCGGGTAAGTGGACCGCGTTCTCCAGGCGTGGGCATTCTCCAGCTACGCCACGGGCTGCTCTGTGAAGAGAAGGTTCACACCTCTGAGCATTTCACTCTGCCGGCAGGTGCTCGGGTAAAGGCCTGAATCCGCAGCCTAAGAGCTTGCTTCCTGGAGTCATGACCTCAGCCCCTGATCTTAGACAGTTGCTGCTGGGTTTAGTGAGCCCGTGCCCTTGCACGGGAAATCGCTTCCTAGAGCTCTGGGCTGGGAATCGATGGGGAGGTGGCCGGTCCTGACTGCCTCTCTGTTCTGTTTCCAGCCGCAGAATCTGGGCGGAGGCAGGCAGGGAGGGGAGGAGGGAGGAAGCCTTCCACGTGGACGCTGCCTGCTCGGGACAGGCTGTTTGGCTCCTGCAGAGGCCCCGCCACTCCTCACCCCACCCTCCCCGGAGGCACCTGCTCAAAGAGTTCCCTGCTGGTGAGCACACTGCCCAGAGGGCTGGTGGCGGGCCCCATCCTCGGGCACCAGCACACCCCGCCTCGCCCTCCTCACCCCTCCATGCTGCCAGGCACCCAGCGCTCCGTTGTTGATTCCTCAGCTACCTACCCAGTAACTGCCCGCGTCGGGGACCGGGGAGCAGGGAGCTACGGGCACGTATGTTCTTCTTCATGTCCATTTACGTTCTTTGTCTTTATGCTTAGAAAGTCCTCCTTCATCCAGCAAACTGGTCACTGTCCACCTACCTGCATGTGTTTTTTTGGTTCTTTTTTTTTTTTAATTTTTTTTTTTCAACGTTTATTTATTTTTGAGACAGAGAGAGACAGAGCATGAACGGGGGAGGGGCAGAGAGAGAGGGAGACACAGAATCGGAAACAGGCTCCAGGCTCCGAGCCATCAGCCCAGAGCCCGACGCGGGGCTCGAACTCACGGACCGCGAGATCGTGACCTGGCTGAAGTCGGACGCCCAACCGACTGCGCCACCCAGGCGCCCCTCTGGTTCTTTTTTGAATGAGTTTCGGTGTCTGGTGTGAAAGAGAGAGACCCAACTTCTGCTTTCCTTTATTTCCAAAAGGCTCAACTGCCTCAGCACATTTCCTTCCAAATGAGAATGTAATCGTTTATATTTAGGTTTTTAAGACCGAAATAAAGTGCACGGTAAGGTGCGCCCATATTTACCTTGCGCAGCTTGATGTGTGCACTGGGTAACTCCCGCCAGATCCAGATCTACCCCTGAAGGC